TGAGGCGTTTCAGTAATTTTTTTATCTGAAACAGTAAAATGATAATTAAAAATTTTTATTTTAATCATATCACCGACATGTGGTATCGAAACCTTTCAATTTAAATAATTTACGTAAATAAATAAATAGTAATAAATAAATGTCAAATACTCTTACACTGCCCATAGGCTGCGCCTCCTCTTTCTGAACAGTTTTCGGCTCAGCGCCTTTTTCATTGTTATCTGCCTGTTCGTCGGCATTTTGTTTTTTCTCTTCGACCACTGGTTCGACAACTTCCATCTGTAAATAAATGATTTATTTATTGTTTTACCGTAATATAATAATTTATTATTGTAATGTTAATATTATTTCATTATTACTGTTAATATTATATATGCTATTGTTAAATAATATTAAAATAATAATATTATATAATATTATTTTATTGTATTATGTACTACGTTAATACTATTTTATTAAAATAATATTAAAATAATAATATTATATAATACTATTTTATTAAAATGATATTAAAATAATAATAAAATAATATTATTTTACTATTATTAAATATTAATATTATTTCATTATTATTGTTAATATTATATATGCTATTGTTAAATAATATTAAAATAATAATATTATATAATATTATTTTATTGTATTATGTACTACGTTAATATTCATAATGTTATACATACTGCGTTTGATGTTTCTCCGTCCATTGTTCGGCTTGTAATGACGAGCCATCGATGATCGTGACCGATCGCGAGTCCCGAACATCCACACACATATTCAAATATCGAAAAAGAAACAAATGCCTTCTCACCAACCGTCCTCCGTCCGGAAGAAATATATGTATATCGCAATATAGTTCGCGATATTTCAGTTGAACGACATAGACAGTACGCATAATACAAAACGGTCGCGAATTTTAATATCTTTTGTTATTTTTGTTTGTAATAACTTTTATTTAACTGTTTTTTTCTTAATTTTTTTTTAAAAGTGTATTGCGTTTTGCACTGTAAGTGTGTACAAGTGTGTGTGTGAAATTGTGCGCAAAAAAATTGACAATAATAAAATTGTGACAAAAGTGCGTGAAATGAACACCCTAAGAAATTTGTGCATCGCCAAAGGTGAGGAAAATATGGAAAATGTCGAACCAAGAAGAGAAAATAAGAAAAAATTGCCTCCTTCGAAAAGAAGATATTCACAAAAAAGGTTGTGGCGCAAAAAAAGAGAGTCCTTATTAGCCTCTCAGAACAAGAAATCGGAAACTGTTGATGGCGTAACTACAAAGAAGAAAGATATTGCTGTGCAATTTATAAATCAGCCGTCAACATCCGATGGAATTTATTGCCCATCGGAAGAAATTGCAGAAAATACTATATCCGCGGGTAATTCGGACTTGGAAGATCATTTAATAATAGAAAAAATAAGAACAACCGAGTCAGAAGAAACGTCATCTATCTACAATGGCTCGAGCATTGTGAATATGCAGCACATGTTTCAAGAATTGAAAAAAATGAGCAACCATGCGGAGAACAGGGAAGACTGTGGAATAAAATACCTGGAAATAACCGGCATGAAACGGTCGGGCCTGAGGACAACCCTCAACGTAGTGTGCACCTTGTGCCACTACAAAGGTGAAATCCACAGTCAACCTGATGAAGTTGAAGAAATGAATATAAATCAAAGTGCCGTGGCTGGTACGATGTTCACTGGTGGCAGCTACGCCCAATTGGAAGAATTTCTTGCTGCAATGAACATACAATGTATGTCGAAGAGGCAATATGTAAAGCATCACGATGAAATCGTGAATTCGTTGATTGCTGCAGCAGAAAAAGAAATGATAGCAGCGGCTGAAGAAGAGCTGAAGAAGAAAAACAATTAGCAGCGGCTGAAGAAGAAAAACAATTAGCTATTGAAAGAGGAGATATTCTTCCAGGTTCTGGAATCCCGCACATTCCCGTCGTTGCCGACGGGAGCTGGATGAAAAGATCATACCGCACCGGTACATATAACTCTGCGTCGGGAGTTGGCGTAGTAATTGGATACCACACAAGAAAAATTTTATTCATCGGAGTGCGGAACAAAACATGCAAAATTTGTGATTTTGCTGCAAGAAGGAAGGAACGGCCCCGAAAACACACATGTTTCAAAAACTGGACAAGGAATCAAGCGTCCACCGCTATGGAAGGCGATGCCATAGTGGAAGGCTTCAAAACCAGTGTGGAAAAGCGGGGATTGATTTATTCCACGCTAATCGCTGACGGAGACAGCAGCGTATATAAAAAAATTATCGACGCAGATCCGTACAAAACAGAAATTCGTGTGAAAAAAATTGAATGCACGAATCATTTATTACGGAATTTCTGCAGAAAAATGAGAGAAATTGCAAAAAAAACAACAGCAGGAAGTATGAGGAAAGCTGTTGAAAGTAGCATTCGGCGGATACGGACGGCGATAGTAAAAGCCGCGCAATATAGAGATAAAGAAAATGTATCGACCGCCGAAAAAATAAAAAATTTGTACGGCGATATATATAACATGCCAAGCCATGTCTTCGGCGAACATGCCGAGTGCAGTAAAATAAAATACTTCTGCGATGGGAAAAACAAAGAGAACGAAAGAAATATCGTCCCACAATTAAAGAATATGGGAATATATCAGCAAATTAACGATATACTTAAACCATTAGTAGCTCATGCAGAGAGCTTATTATACAGCTGCAACAATAATAGTGTAGAAAGCTTCAACGGAATCGTCGCCAAATATATTGGTGGAAAAAGATTGAATCTCGGGGAAAGAGGTTCGTACACAGCAAGATGTGCTGCTGCTGTGTTACAATACAACACCAAAGAAGCACTATCTCGGTTGAGTAATGCGATGAGCAAGAAACCGGCCGCAGCTGTATGCAATATGGAAAAAAAAAGAAAACGTGCCAACAAAATAATAAATGACAAACGTCAAAAGAATATTGGAGCGCGAACGCAAAAAAAAATGCGCTCTGAAAAAGATTTTGATTATGGACCAAACGCTGCACAAGCAGATATGAATCCACATATTTATAAATTGGAAGAAGAAAAACATTTGAAAATGCTACGCCAGTGGCAAGAAAGAAAAGATACTATTGAGAAGGAAACAATTGGACAAACAAAAAATCAACGCTGGTACGCCTATAAATCAAAACTTTTGACAGCGTCCAATTTTGGAAGCGTGTGCCGTCGCAGAAGTGACACATTATGTGGGAACTTAGTACGAAGATTAATGTATCCGAAAATCATTAGTGTACCTGCAATTAAATACGGGCAAGAATGTGAAGATACTGCCCGCCAAGAACTGCAAAAATGTACAGGTACAGAAATTAAAGAATGTGGACTTTTTATTGATAGTTTCCATCCATTCTTGGGAGCATCACCGGATGGTGTTATTGATGAAGAGGGCATCGTTGAAATCAAATGCCCAAAAACTGCTGAGAACTTGTTGCCGGAAGAGGCAATCAAGTCGATTCCGTCTATCCGACGGATATTTACAGATGAAACAGGTTCTGCGCTAAGCAGAACACATGCATACTTCTATCAAGTGCAAGGACAACTGCACATAACAGATAGAAAATATTGCATATTTTGTATTTGGACCCCGAAAGGGATAAAATACACTGTCGTCCAAAGAGACGACGTATTTTGGCAAAACGAAATGGAGCCAAAATTAATTAACTTTTACATGCAATGCATATTACCGGAGTAGATAGACAGCCGGTATTACAGGGGTATGCCCATTAGGGAGCCCTCGTTCATAATAGAGGAAAGAGAGCGTATAATGGAGGAAAGAGAGCGCTTGAAAAAGCGAAAGAGATCTTATTCCGAATCTGATGCAGATGTTGTAACAGTCCGGCGTCGCACTGTACTGTAAAGTGCAGTTCCATCGACTTTTGTCGGTGGTTCCCAATTGCATTCTGCAATTGTACTCGTGGATCATGCGATCACACGAGTATTTCGACACCGGTTTGCATTTGTTCACAGGTCGACAAAAAATAATAAAAACAATAAACGTTGCAACGGTCCAGTGTCGCACTGTACTGTAAAGTGAAGTTCCATCGACTTTTGTCGGTGGTTCCCAATTGCATTCTGCAATTGCACTCGTGGATCATACGATCACACGAGTATTTCGACACCGGTTTGCAAATAACTAAAAGCACTTTCAACCCTTTCCTTTCCTATAAAGTATCATTATCCTACCTGCAATTATTCTATCCCAGGGGTCGGCAACCTGCGGCTCGCGAGCCACATGAGGCTCTTTGGATGTGAAGCTGCGCCTCTTTAGTTCCATACACAAATATTATTTATTTTATCAAAAAAAAACATTTAAACATCGTTCTGAATTGATTAACGAGGATTAGGCACCGATTCTATCTCTCAGCCACTTGTACTTGCTTTTCACCGCACCCCTTCCCCGTGACACGCGTCGTCACTGTCATCAACTGTTAGTGTTGTAAGTAAATGTTTAATTGTTTTAATTTTTTACTTAAATAATAAGTAATTATCTAATAATGCCATATACAGGGTGTTCGATAACTGGTGGTACAAGCGAAAAGGGGGTGATTCTACATGAAAAAATAAGTCGAAAATATAGAATAAAAATTTTTCATGTGAGGCTTTGTTTTCGAGAAAATCGACTTTGAATTTTCGCTGGGTACGCGTGCACTTGATCATGTCTCGTTATAACGGATCTCACTGTAGATCATTGTCTCGATTGAAGTTTATGTTGATAAACATAACTACTATTTATTGTTGGCAAGAAAAAATTTTGTGGCTCTTTAAAAACTTTGAAATTTTGTAAATTGTAATTTTTGACTCTTCCGACTCAAAAGGTTGCCGATCCCTGTTCTATCCGATTCTATCCATTCTGTCCTTATCCCATCCTTATCCCATCCCGATGGAAGAAACCCACCACCTTCTCGTGGTTTCCATCGTGCGATGACACTTCTTTCAAAATAATAACGAAATAAAAATCTATTGTTTTTTTGAAATAATAATAGAATAAAAAATGTTGATGTTTAATGTTATGAAAGAAATGTCATTGGCTAAGAGTGGGTTTTATCATTTACCAATAATTAACACTAATTTCCAATAATTAATAATCTACCAATAATTTATTACAGATTGTACAGCAGCAGATGTGTGAGGAAAGAAATTTTCCTTTTGCTGTATGGCAGTATAACAGACATGTAAGTAGATGAAATAAAATTTTATTCGGTAGTTGGAATAATACTAGTAGTAATTATTATTGTAGGAGTTAAACGGTAACCGTTGCTGACAATATGTACCGCAACGTAGGAGCAAGGAAAAAAAGCGACACAAAACACCGAGCGGGTAACAGCTGATCGGTCGAAACCGTCACCAATATACGTTAGAACGAGTCAACCTTGCGTGAGTGCGTGCATGTTGTCAAAATAACAAAAGTGAGCAACGATCGGTGGACGTTTGCAACCGTCGGGTCAAACCGATATTCAAACCGGTATTCATATCATTTTATCTGTTGCAGATACTTTGTAAATAAAGGAAGCGAACCAAGCAGAGAAGTAACAGCTGATCTGTCAAATACGGAACAAGATCAGTGACAAGGCGAGAAGGAGTTTCCGCCACTCCTATTTGGGCACGCGACATTAGATAACGAGCGGGTTGACGCGCCAACAACGGTAGTCAAATAAAATAATT